CCCCAAAACCCCAAAACCCCAAAACCCCAAAACCCCAAAACCCCAAAACCCCAAATCACTATTTATTATTTGAACTATTATTATCATTATGGGATATTATTTCTTCTTCCACTGCATAATAGTTTTGTCGTAACCCCCAATGGAAATGATGTGGGAATCATCATGAGTGAATCTTGTTCTGACGACATGCTCAGAGTGACCTCTTAGAGAGATAGGCTTAGCTCCCTTACGTGCTGGGTTTCTCCACACGTTTACTAGTCCATAATCATCACCAGTGGCAATCAATCCACCACAGTGGGAGAAATCAACATCATTGATGTGAGTACCGTCAGTTCCAGCTGGGAAAATTCCAGTAACGAGCCAACCGTATTTTGCATGGCTTGTGTGCCATTTAATTCCTTTAGTGTTAGAGGCTCCGCTTTGGTCTTGTTCGACACCGTCATCAGAGACTTTAAAAAAGAGAAGTTCATGAGCTCCACATACAGAACGAATGTATGATGAATCTTCACTCCAGTCAACTGAAACGATGAACGAGTTATGGGCAGTTCCCTTTCCAATCAGCTTTAGGTCGCTCGCATCGTACACATAGATGTTGTCGTCGTGTGATCCCACAGCCAACTTTCCTCCGCATGGAGAATAGGCTATGGCCTCAATCCACTCGTCGCTGTCGTTGAGTGTGTGGCGGATGGTCTGTAAATCACCCGCGCTGTCTCTGATGGTGACTCTGCCGTCGTTGTGGCCCACAGCAACATTTCCGTTTCCTGCAGAGTTAATGGCAACAGCTCTGGCGCACTTGCTTGCAGCGTATGAAGTCAATGAGCTAGCTCCACCCTTCTTAGGTCCAGCATCTTCATCACAAATTTCTCCATGGCCAGTGCTCTTTTTGTCTTTGATGCTCCAAGAGTAGAGATGATTGTCATCTCCTGATGTTACTATGGTACCTGAAGAATCAATATCAAGTCCCCAAGCTTCACCATCACTATGAGAGTTCATGATCTCAGTGATTTTGCCTCCAGAGTTAATCTCGATGATGTTTCCGTTTCTAAGCCCAGCAACGATGTTTGATCCATCCATATCCACAGATCTCACCAAGCATCCTACGTCAATTGTTCTCTCAGCTTCTCCTGTTTCTGGATTTGAGATGACAACGTTTCCATCTTTAGCTCCTGAAATAATTTTTCCATCACACCATCTAATGGAGCAGCAGAAACCTTTACCGTGCACATCATAAGTCTTCTGGAGTTGGAAGCATGATTCGAACTTCCAGTGGTAGATCCTGGAGTTGGCACCTCCAGTGTAGCAGTTACCTTGGTCATCCCAAGCGACAGCACAGTGGGAGGTTGGTTTACCAGCACTACCGTGGACTCCCTTCCTCTTTTTGAATTTGCTGTCAAGATCCCAGTGAGCAATATGCTTGCAACCTGCGGTAGCAATCACTGCCTCACCTTCTTTCTTGGACCAAGAGATATGATAGATACGGTCTGGACCAGTCTTATCACCAGCAACCTTCTTCTCAGTAGCAATGTCATAAACAGACAAGTTGTGGTCATTGCTGTTGTCAGTCATGGCCACCATTTTTCCTTGTGGACAGATAGCAATGGCGGTGATCTCTCTTCCTCCCTTCTTAAGCTTGAACCTAGCTTTCTTTTCTCCACTGGAGGAGTCCCAGACGAAAGCGACTGGTTTAGATCCGTTCTGTCCGGTGGCGGCAAGCTTTCTGCAACTTGAGACATCCATGGAAGTGATATCATTTGTATGTCCAAGGTCATCTCTAGCAACCTTCTTGGAAGCATTGTCTACTTGACCACCTCCGAAGAATTTCTGCTTGTTGGATCCTTGGTCAAGAATCACACCCAAAGCAGCAGTGAAGTAAACAACATTACCATCAGCGTTATAGAAGCAGTTCATTCTGCTGTCTTCAGCTCTGTATCCATAGACGTATTCAAGCTCGTATTCAACGTCTGGAGCATCATTGTTAACATCATTGTGCTCCTCTGGCTCTTCGATAGCTCCTTCGTAAGGTCTGACAGCCATGAATTGTTCTCCAGCTCCAGCATCAGCACCTTCAAAGAAGTCAAACTCTCTGTCATTCTGTGGAGCATCAATTTCTACCATTTTATTTTGGCTCTTGTCGAATACCTTTCTCTTAGAGTTAATATTATTCTCTTCCTTCTTGAACTCTTCGTCGATCTCGGCGTCGTTCCAGTTAACCTTATCATTTGAAGGATCGTCAGCCCCGTTGGATGATCCGCAACCCATATCTTTATAAGAATATTTGAACTGAAATAAAATTTAATAAAGATTCTGAATTTTCGGTCAAATGGGGTTTTGGGGTTTTGGGGTTTTGGGGTTTTGGGGTTTTGGGGTTTTGGGG